GTATCACGAAGATCCGGGCTCGTAACCTACAAAAGATTGTAGAAGCAAGGGGTGAGTACCAAACCACACGGTACTCAACAAGCAAACCTCTAAACACAAGCTAAGAGTACAGAATACGGGTACTCCTTACACCCCATCCTAACCTCCATAACTACAACCTGCATAAAACCAACCCAACCTAACAATTTACAATTTACAAAGCATACAACTCAACAATAGCACTCTAACAGGTCATATATTCTCAATAACACCTCAATATTCGTCAATAACCAATTTCACAGAAAGGCACTCACAATTTCTGTGAAATTGGTTATTGACGAATATTGAGGTGTTATTGAGAATATATGACCTGTTAGAGTGCTATTGTTGAGTTGTATGCTTTGTAAATTGTAAATTGTTAGGTTGGGTTGGTTTTATGCAGGTTGTAGTTATGGAGGTTAGGATGGGGTGTAAGGAGTACCCGTATTCTGTACTCTTAGCTTGTGTTTAGAGGTTTGCTTGTTGAGTACCGTGTGGTTTGGTACTCACCCCTTGCTTCTACAATCTTTTGTAGGTTACGAGCCCGGATCTTCGTGATACCTTCAATTCTCTTCGTTTCCGAGGTTTTCTGTGGAGATCTGAGAGGTAGCTGTTTGTCATCTCAGCGAACCTTCTTACTCCTGTTTATGATTTTGTTTTTACTTGAAAGACAACGTCATTTGAGACTTGCGTATTTTCTTTCAATTCTAGTATTTACATTAGAGGCTTGTGCACGTGACAACCAGGTTTTGGGGATTGAATTAAGTTGACTTGTTTTCGTAATAGTAATTGCTATTGAACTTTGCTTTATTTCCGCACTTTATCGAAATGATTGGGTTTTAGGCTGACTTGTCTTGGTGGGATACGACGAGTGCCATCACATCCATTTTTGGGTCGTCATTATACGTTTGCGACACGAATTCTGAGCGTGTTTGAGAAGTTTTTTTGAGAAAAAAAATTTGCCGTCTTCGTCCTCACTTTTCTCTCTCCTTCCACCACTCTTTTTTTTTTTTAACTATAAATTCTAGTTTTGAAAAAAAAACTACTGCTATATAAGTGGGAAAAAAAAACTATTGATAGATAGTAGTAATTAAGGTACTTAAGTTGTATACTTAAGTTTTTTGCCCAATAAAAAATTGATTCTCAAGAAAGAAAAAGAAATCAAGTAATATACTAACCTAACAAAAAATTGGTGTGATGAAAAGTGGCAGAGAGATCCTGAGGAGGAAGAACGAGAAAAAGAAAATTCAGAAGAGTGGTGGAAGGAGAGACAAAATTGAGGAAGAAGACGGCAAAAAAAAAAATTCTCAAAAAAACTTCTCAAACACGCTCATAATTCGAGTCGCACACATTATATGAGTCAGCGTGAAGTGTCCAAATGACACAATAGAAATGGGCAAAAAACTTAAGTATGCAACTTAAGTACCTTAATTACTACTATATAGCAATAGTTTTTTTTCCACTTATATAGCAATAGTTTTTTCTCAAAACTAGAATTTATAGTTTAAAAAAAAAAACTAGAAATAGTCAGCCACTCTTATCTCATATTTCTTGATTTTCTCCAATTATTTTACCTTTCACGATTTACTCAGATTTGTTATATATTCTCTCTCATGAAGAAAGGTTTTTAACAAAAATAAAATTCTCTTTCTACTCATCTGATCGATTGTTGAAACATGGATACCAACAATTTTTGAATTCTAATTCAACACAACGAACGATGGGACGCATCAGGTATTTGAACAAATAACGATTGAATTGGTGTTTTTTATGCGATTATTTTAATATATTTGTGCTTTTTTTTTGTATGATCATTTTTCTTACAATCTATATTAGGTAGTTTTGGTATTTATTCGTTGGTTTGAATTGTATGTTTTTGTGATTAGGTATAAAATTCATATGCTTTGGTAAATGATCTGGTGCAACGATTGACTGGTTTCAATTCTTGAATAAACAATAAATATTATTAATCGTTTTTGGTATATTATTAGGTTCAATTCTGTAGTATGTTTTTATAAACACCATTATTCATTATTTATTTTTGGTGTGAGTGATATAAACGCCAAATTCCTTGAATATTATTTTGGTAAAAGACTATGTGTAATTGATAGTGTATTTGGTGTAGGTGATTTGATGTAGTTGATAGTGTATATTGATTGTTAATAAACATAAAAATTTGGGATAGTTTTTTGGGTTTATGTTCTGATGTAATTGTATATTTTATAATGTATTTAAACACCAACTAACGTGATATTTTTTTGGTTCATCTATTGGGGTGGTAGATAGTGTGTTTTCTGATATAATTGATATATTTAGGTCGTATATAAACACCAACTTTCATGGTAGTTTTTTGGTTCATTTATTGGTGTATTTGTGATGTATATTCTAGTATAATTGATATATTTAGGTAGAATATAGGCACCAACTTTCATGGTAGTTTTTTGGTTCATCTATTGGTGTATTTATGGTGTATATCCTGGTAGAATTGTTAATTTTAGGTCAATATAAACACCAACTAACATGATAGTTTTTTGGTTCATCTATTTGTGTATATAGTGTATTTTCTGGTGTAATTGATATATTTAAGGTCATATATATTCACCAAATAACATGGTATTTTTTTGGTTCATCTATTGGTGTATTTGAGGCTTCTACATTGATTCAGGGAAAAAGGGCTCGAGTTGCAGCACTTCTATTCTTAATGGACAGTAGGCTACCACAGATGATAGCCTTTTTGCTAGGAATTTAGATAGTGTATTTTTTGGTGTAATTGATATATTTAGGTCGTATATAAACATCAATTTTCATGGTATTTTTTTGGTTCATCTATTGGTGTATTTTATAGTGTATTGTGGGTTGTCCAAAATTATTTTGGAGATTGATCAACAATAAATTGTAATCTAACACAGGTAAGTACGTGGATTACAATATGAGATTTCTTGTAGTCATACAGCTGCTGCTATCAGATACAGAAACAAACACCGCGAAGATTATTGTTTAGCTTATTATAGTTCTAAGACTTTTCAAGATACTTATGCAATCTCAATTGATGCAATGCCTTGCGAAAGCACTTGGTATATTCAATCACATATTATGGAAGAATAGTGTTACCATCAATTGCAAGAAAACAACAAGGCAGACCAACAAATAATGATCTTAAGAAGGAATTCAACGAAGAAAAATTCAAAAGGTGTAAAGTCACTTGTAGTAAATGTGGTACACCAGGGCATAACAAAAAAGACTTGCCCCAAATTTGCGCCTCAGAATTTGCATTGGTGTTTTTTTTTTTTAAAAAGTAAACATTTGAATCTTTTAGGTTTTTGTTGAAATTCAGATTTTTTTTAATGAATGTTAATCACAATTTAATCCATATTTGGTTAATTAGCTAATTCATAATAAGGATCAATTTATAATAGTGGTGTAATTACTGTTGTAACATTGGTGATCGATTGCATGTTGATTTACTACATTATGATTTTTTTGGTGAAAATATGATATAACTGTTCAAATTTATTGGTCGTATATAATGGCTAAATTGTTTGTATTATATAATATTGAGGGATGACTGACCTTAAGAGAAAAGATAAAAATGGTGAAAGCATTAAACTGGTGAGAAAGAAAAGAATGGTGAAAATGATGAATATAAACGGAAGATAGAAAGATAACAATGGTTACAATTTCTCTCCAAATAAAACTACATAGGGAATAATGAATATTTAGAAAGAATAAATTGTTGGAAAAGTAAAAAGGTTTTACTTTACATTCATTGAATTAAAAAGGAAGAAAATAAAAAATATCATTCAAAAGGCTGTATAATTGTAATTGGGAGATAAATAAGGCATATAATCCCAAAAATAGGAGAGAAGAAAATTGAATTTATATAATTAAATTAACATAAAAATTAATTATTATGCTACGTATGTAATTTATAAACTATGTTTATAATTAAATAACAGTATGTGCATATATTGTTAATTAAAGTCTTAAGTAGTATATTATTGTAATTTTTCCTTTTTTATTTTCTGATCTCATATTTAATTTTTCATCCATAGTTTCCTATCAGATAGTAATCGCTTCGCTTATCACTAATCGTTTCCTCTCAAGTGAGAAGATCTTTCGAACATCAAAACAGAAAATTGATTACAGTTTCGAAATAGAAGTATTTCCCTAAAATTTTACTTTTCATATCGTTTCAACCTCAACCTAATTTTTTGTATATCCACTAGTAATGAAATAAATAATTATTTAAAATTACAGAGATAATTAATTTTTAAATTTATAATTAATCTCCTCAGCAATTACAATGAAGATTAATTCTTATATATATTTGTCTTCCTTTGCAACTATAGTGACTTGTGAGAAGAGAAAATAAGAATAGTACTTTTCTCGTTTCTTGGTGGGGTTTTAGAAGAAGAATGAAGAAAGGGGTGGGGGCCTAGGTTAGAGAAATGGAGAAAAAACAAAGAAAACAAAGTTTTTTAAAAAAAATAAAATAAATCCACGTGTCACATGTAGATTTGTTTATTTCTCCACGTAAAAAGTGTTTGTCCAACGCGCCAAAGCTAAATCTGAAAATATAAAAAAAAGTGTCAAAATGCCACAATCAAGACCTACTATAGGTGTTTAAAATGAACAAGGTCTACTTGAGGTGTCTAATTTGATTGCAGGGAACCTCATCAATTTGATAAACATCGTTCGTATACAATTTCTTGAACAACCGAAAACCAATAGAAATACATATCTTATGATAAATCTTCTAGTGAACACATCGTACAAATGTGAATGTAAAATACAGGATGCATCTATCAATCGATTCATCTTACAGTACGTTGAGTGCAATTTACCCAGAAAACTTCTATTCAAAAAGGCTGTTCAGTCTCATAAATCTCCAATTGTCGCGTTCTAACTTCCAAGCTCACGACTCTACCTACATCTGCTACATTCTCTTGCAATAATATGATTTGATACAAAAAAAAAATCCCCATTTAAGTTCTACTATACAACTACGTCAAGCATGTACGCATATGTTGAGACGTGAAAAATGATAGTACTAGTTTCCTAAATAACATGACTAAGTGGCCCAATGCCTAGTTCGTCATCTATGTCATCGTCCTCTTCAAACAGCTTCAAGAAACGAGCTTGCTCGTTCTGCCTCTTTTTTTGCTTCCAACATTTGTAGGTAATAACTGCTCCAATAACTAAAACAATCAACACTGAAGCACCGATGAGAAGCATGAAAGCCCAGTGCATTGATCTCTTTCCGCCTTTTTGTGAGCCAGATGAGTGATGTGAAGCTACAATAACAATGCAACAAAATGCAAAATTAGTACTTACTATGTCTAACAAATCGATTTGTATGCAAATCAAAAGCTTATTCAGTATTATTTTTTACACCATTCTCCCCACAAGAGGGGGCGGGAGGGATAACATTATTCTTGTTTCCTCCCTTACAAAGGCGGAGTCAGGATTTAAAGTTTATAGATTTTGGGTAAGTTACTGAGTTCTAAATTAACAATCAGCTCCACCCTGCCTCTCAGGGAACTACTAGTGAACCTACACAATTTCTGATGTGCAGTTTATCTGAATACTTATTATGACATGCCTGGGTATAACGAAAAAAGTGCAACTCTTCGAATATAAAGTAAGAGAAGATTAGATCATTGAGGAATAAAAATTCTTACCATCGCGATGGTGGATACACTCTGGACACAAAAATGTGGCTTTGAACTCTTTCTTTATGTAATGACTATACTTCCCATGAGGACTAGTGAAATCAGAAGGACATAACTCCCATTCATCAAACGTATCGTCAGGCTTTATCGTGTCCTTCTCATAGATCCCGCATCGTTTGCACTTTTTATCTGTAAGCTCTGTCAAAGGCTAAAACATCAAATTTAATCAATGTCAAATTCTGGAAGGAGATTTATCGTATGCCATAAACATTCATGTTTTATATGCATTTTGATGACCAAACATCGTGACAAATGGTTATTGATATTAAATGACAGTTCTGAGCACAAAGCATTTTGTGTTCATGTAGGTCCAGAGAAGGGTCACACCCTGCATTAGTGACTGATTTCACGACTCAAACTCATAACCTATGGGTCACATGGAGAAAATTCCACGGAAAGTAAATAGAAGAATTGAGAGAGATTTCATTATTATAAACCTGCCAAGACTCTTCGCCCTTGAATATATACAAAACATGTTTTTTCTTCACATCTGGCAGAATTGTCCAGTTTTCCCCCTTACACCGAAAAAATACTGTTGGTTTTGATCCGAAGATTTCATGTTTCTTATATATTTCAATCGAATCAAGTGTAACAATTGCAGCTCTAACTAATCCTGCACAAACAAAAATGATCAATTGTTTATCTCCTTTAAACCCAGGAAACATGGATTGGGCAACGCAACCGAGTAATATTTTATTATCTTAGAAAGGCATATTACTTGAGTAACTATCAAAGAAATCAATTCGCAAGAATGAGTATCTTTATATACGATATTCATATAACCAACTAATCGAAAAAAAGAACAATTTTTTTTTATAAAAACCAAAATGAAATATACCTGGGAGCAATCTGAGAAAAAGTGAGGTACAGAAAATTAACACGATTGGAATTCGATGCATCATTGACATGTAAAAGTTTATTTTTGATTGTGTATGGGACAGATGATGAAGGAGATTACATGAAAGGTTTCCGTAATTATTACGGAGACCTTTCATGGCGGAACAAGGCTCGGCATTTTGCTTGTTAGGAAAATACTGATGAGCAGTTCGCGCGCTATTCAACCGTTAGCATTTTTTATTTGACACCAATTTTATATATGTATTACTCCAATTACACTTTTATTTTATTGGGTTTTGCCTCGGAGCCTGATAAAATTGAGGTCACTGGTTTAAGCCGTAAAAATAATCAATAATGTTTGTATTAGAGCACCATGTTTACATTAGGAACAATGTTGATTCTTTAAATGGCCATCAAAATTTTGAGAATTGACTACAAAAAGTTTTTTTTTTAGAATAATATATTCACTTATCACTATTTTCCTCAAAAAAATATATACTCCCTCTGTCCGTTTTTAATTGTCATGGTTTTCTTTTTTAGAGTCAAACTATAAGAACTTTGACTAACATTTTTTGTGGTGTATTTTTTCATCATATTGATATGCAAGAAATTGCAATTTATAGTACTTTTAGTATAGTTTTTGAATATCTAAGTTTTATGTTTAAAATATTGATTAATGTAATCTAATTTAACTTTGAAAATTAGTCAAATTGACTTTTGAAAAGCGCAACATGACAAATAAAAGTGGACGGAGGTAGTATATACTAAGCACCTCAAAAGTGTTATTCTTGGAAATTTCAAAAATCCCCAATAAGTTATAATCTTATGAAGTTTTTTCCAATTTTCTTTGATAGAAAAAATGAATGTAAATTAGATTATCGATCTGTAAATTCTTTTGTGTAGTCTGATGCTTAAGTAATTTTGGATGTGCACAAGTAGATACTTAAATTTTTATAAAATTGAACAAGTAGACATATATATATATATATATATATATATCTTATGTGGCATAATACACGTAGGAAATAAAATTGTCACATGGGATAAAATTATCTATTTTTTTAAAATCATTCAAATTTAAATGTATATTTGTTTACCCCAAAGTTAAAGAAAATAAATACAAATTAAGGTCAAATTAAATGGTGCTTTTGTGTTATGTCTTTTTATTTTGTAGTGTTAAGATATGAGTTGATGAGCTAAATAATAAGTACTCATATTTTAAAGGGTATTTTTGGGGATATAGTTGAGTGATGTTAATGATTTGAGGTTAACCACTTTGAAGGCTTTTAATGTCACATTAATTACAGTAATAAACAACCTTATTTTCATGGTCAATAGCCGTTAATTGGAATCTTCAATTTAATCTTGCATTATCATTTGCTCATTTAATTACGGTTACATCTCTACCTTTTCTTTTTTTTTTCTACAGTAGAGCAATTGCATATTTTCAATTATGAGTTGTTTTGTCTAAGGATCCTATGTAGTCATAAAATTGAAAAACAATAAACTATACTCTAAACGTATAGTTATTTCATTCAGTGTCTGATACAAAAATTGAAGCCTCAGTTAATTGCATTTACGCCGTGTATATCCTAATAATATAAAGGGAACACACTTCTTATCATGATTTTTATATATTCACAATTCGAATCTAGAATCTCAAGAAAAAAATAAATTAAATAGAACAAAGTAATAACAAATGTTGCACCTTTCTTTTATTTCTCATCTGATATTCGATGCTTGCATTAATATCCTATTTTATGCATTGCAAAGCCTATTTCTACTGGCGACATTTCGAACAAAAAGAAAAGTCATTCTAAGAATTCAAACTTAAAGAGCTTTGAATAAGGATAGGTAAATCTCAATCGTCCACGACAATTCAAGTAAAAATTTAAACTAATTCATGCTCATGCTTTAATATTTGGCCAAAGAAAAAGAAATAAAACACTTTTTTTTTTTTTGAATACAAACTATAAAAAAAAAAATTAAAGGTAAAAAAGACAAAAAGAGAAAAAAAAATAATATTAAAAATACTGTAACTAACACTGACTTTTTTTTTTAACTTTCATGATCGACAACATCAACAGTAGCAGTACACGCTAACAGCTTTCGGAAAACACCGCACAACGCCGCACAACAAATTTTCTTCACTCTCCTCACCGCCGTGAAACTCCTCACGCGCCGCCGTCTCCGACCGATTTTCCCCTTCTTTTTGCCGCCGTTCGCCACTCTTTCTCTGACTTTTCCGAGACACTTCTTAGTTTTTTGAGGAACAGTTTCTTTTCTCGAGAACGTATAAGCGCTTCTCAAGTACAGCTGGCGGCAGGAGACGGAGTCTACCACCCTAGGAGACTGCCAGAGCTGCCGTCTTCTGCCGCCGTATATCGCCGGAGAATTCATCTTCAGAAACTCCGCCATTTCAGTGAAATTTTTGTTTTCACCTTTTCTTTTGTTGTTGTGTGTAATGGGAATGAAAGACAGTTGTCAGAACAAAGAGGTTATTATATACTCCCTCTTCCGTCTTAAGGAGATTTGTGAAATAATCCAAATCTAAATATATATAGAAATATTATTTATCAATAAATCATCTCACTAAAAATAAAATAATTTTTTTAAAGTCAAATTATTAAGTATAAAAGGATTAACGGTCAAAAAGGAGTATTTAAACTATTATTTTATTTTGATTATCCATTATTCTCTTTAACAATTTGAGTTATCAGTTTTTTTTAATTAAAACACAATTTAATACTGAATTAATCTTATTCTCAAATAATGAAGAAAATCATAATTAAACTATGACTCTACAAAAAGGTGATAGTTTTTATATTGATAAATTGAACAATGAATAATTAGAGTATGAAACTGGCAAATATATAATAATTTAAATGTATGCTTTTTAATAATTAACTCAATATAAAAAATATGGGAGAAAGCATAAGTATCCCTAGACTATGACCGAAATCTCAGAGACACACATTAACTAAACTAAGGTCTTATTACCCGCTGAACTCCTTTTAAATATAATATTGTACACTTTTTGGCTAATGTGGCACACCCCATGGCTTCACGCAGTTAAGGTGCGTGGGAGATATTTGAATGTCACGTAAGCCAAAAAGGTGTACAAATTACAAATAAAATGAGTTTAGGGATAATAGGACCTTAATTTAGTTAATGTGTATTTCTGGAATTTGGATCATAGTCTAGGGAGATATTAATATTTTTTCCCTAAAAAATATCATTTATTTTAAACTAATAAAAATATATCATATAAATTGAGAGAAAAAACTAATATTATATAGAATGTGAAAATAGTGTGAGGCATGGAAAATGTGGACATCGATATTAGTGGGATAATGCTCCATGTGTGCTGTACTTTATAGTAATAAGTTCACATTATTAGCGGTGAAAGTGCTTTAATCATGCAAATTAATTTACTTAAAAAGAATTAGGTTGACTTTAAAAACAGTTTTAGAAAAATAAATATTGAGCATATGAGTGGAGAGTGGGTTATTATTTAAAGGATTGTTTGGTTGTTGGGATATATAGATATATATATGAAATAGCTAATTTCATTATTTTAATATAAATAATGAAATAAAATATTTGTGGAATTTATTGATATTCATAATCAAATGTGGAAAACTTCAATGAATTGTCCAGAAGAAAGAAGAGAAAAGAAAATTAATTTCTCCCTCCGTCTCCTTTAATTGTCATGGTTTCCTCTTTTAGAGTCAAACAACAAGAATTTTGACTAATATAGTACTATGTATTTTTTCATCATATTGATATGCAAAAAATTACAATTTATAGTACTTTCAATATAGTTTTTGAATATCTAAATTTTTTGTTTAAAATATCGAATTAATGTAATCTAATTTAACTTTGAAAATTAATTGAATTGACTTTTGAAAAGCGCAACATTACAATTAAACGTGGACGGAAGGAGTATCGTGCTACTCATTGTTGGTAAACAATAAATAGCAAGTCTTCTTATAATTAGAGAGATTATGTACTACATCCATTTCATTTTACTTGGTTTTTATATATACAAAAAGAAAAAAAGATTATTATTTTAGCAAATTAAAAAATATATATTACTGTAGTTGCTTTCAATCTTACTTTTACTATTAAATAACTATATAAAGTATTAATAGTCAAATTTAGATTTTCAAACCATAATTAATAAAATTAGTTTAGTAACATAAACTTCTAACGAATGCATTTAAATAAGAGAGGTGTCAAGTCGACATAGGTAAAGTAAAATACTAGTGTGGATTCTTCTCTAGTTGGGTCAATTACATGCTTGTGTTAGATTAAGTATTTAAGCTAGTGATATTCATGCTTGGTTTTTTTTTTCCAACTCGATATTTGTTACTTGCTTTGAGGCTTTAACTAATCCAAATTCGCATGGCGTGGGAATAAAAAGTTATGGCCTTTTTATACTCTTAACCAAAAGCAAACAACTAGTTAGAGCAAATAATAGACATTTTAAAGAGGATCAAATATCCCATTTTCCATTAGGTGGGGCTTTCTTGTTCCCAAATTTCACTTTCAATGTGTAGGCATCAAGAAGTATGAGCTGATAATGATCGTACCCTTTCTCATCAAGTTACGGGGTCATTTTGTCGAATTCCTTCGACATGGTTCTCTCAAGCGCCCTAGTATACTATACTTGTTCACCTTTGTCGGTTTGGAATATAGTCAGTTCACTCTAAGGATTGTGTTTTTTTTTTCTTGGAAGTTTCAACCTTGTTTACTACTCCCCCTGCCCCTAATTACTTATCCATTTTTTCCTTTTTAGTTGTCCCTAATTACTTGTCCATTTTAACAAATCAAGAAAGGACAAATTTTTTTTTACCTATTATACCCCCAATTAATTACTTTGAAAACGGTAGAACTTTTTGAAAATCTTAAATTTTTAATTCATCCACTTCATAATTAATAGGGATAAAATGATAGACTCACTATGTCAATAATTGTTTTCTTAATAGGTATGTCGATTCAAAAGTGAACAAGTAATTAGGGACAGAGGGAGTATTTGATATGCTTCCAAGTTTTTACCTATATATCAAGATTATCTTGTAACACCAAAACAAAGAGTGAGACATGCCTAATATTGAAGTCCAGATGATCAAAATCCCTAATCCATCAAAAGTAAAAATATATTCAAACAATAAAGAAGCCCTCTATGGTCAGAACTCAGAAGTTATCATTTCTGTTTAAGTTATTAGTGCTAGAATAAGTGCCCTAGGCAACAAACAGGCTATGTTCGATGACTGGCGCTCACCAGAAGACTCACTAGGAGAATAGTAATAACTGAATTTCAAAAGAAAAAGAGTGTTTATGTCCATTCATAAAATAACTAAGAAAGTGTCGCAAAATAAGCAAAGAGCAAAGAGAGACGGATGGGGAAAAACAAAATTCATTAGCTATCAGGAAGTGAAAACAAGTACGATGCTGCCATTTTCAGCTGCATATGCACTATCGCCATCTAAAGAAACCATATCAGCAAGAAAAAGTAAAGGAAGCAATCAGAAAAGTGCAAGTCAAGCCAGAAGTTCCATGCGATCTCATCTACCACGATGGTCTATGTATCAATGTATGAATGAGCATCGGGATCAATTGAGCAAAAAACTTTGAAAAGTAAACAAGGTTGTAATGGTGCTTTCTGTTTTTTGAACCTGTTCCATCTAATAAACTATCACTAGATATCTAATGACATTTGTATTTTGATAAGGAAAACAGATAAGATAGCAAAAAGGAGGTATGACAACGCTCACATATGCTGACAACAAATGAGCAATGACCCCCCACAAATTCATCTAACACAACATGCAGAAAACACCTAACTATATTACCACTCTTGTTTCCAAGTCAATATTGTTTGATTTAGCCAGCTTTCTACTGTAGAAGATCAAAGAGAAAAAACGTAAAAGTCAGTTGAACACTTTCTCACACAGAGGCAGAATTATCCTGAGGAATAGCAGCACGTCAATAAATGTACTCTATTGCATCATGTTTCCTTAAGCCTTATATCTGAATGGTCTAGCCAACAAATAAAAAAAGAATTCCCACCACTATACTATCCCTAATCTATTATTCTCTTCCACGGATTCTTTGATAGTAAGTTCTTTGGCCTATGCCCCACCGATTGTTACTCCTCATTGTTTATGTAAAATGCTTTATAAGATAAAACACGTTCTATTACTAAGAAAGATTAAAATATCACATCTCAGAAATAGGACACAGACACCATATTGCTCATAGCTACAGTGCTATTACTACAGACCGAATATCACACCTCAGAAAGTCAGTCTAGAGTGATGGCATACCATGAAGTAAACAACAGAACATGGAACAAAATGGCCATAACAGGACAGACAGCAAGGCCATTACCATTCAATTGAACCTACATAAGCATAGCTAGACTAATTTCTCAATGGAAAACAACAAACTTAACAATTTCATATTCAAGCACATGACCAGCCAGAGGGAGTACAGACCAACAAGGGAAGATCATGATAAAGCACTATATCAATGAAAATGAGGTTTACATAACACGTCCAATGAAAGAACTATCGATATCCAAAAATGCAAACCGCTGTTCCATGATTACAGTACTATTACTACAGACCAAAATATTGTTTAATAAAAATGAAAAAGTAAAAGAACAGTAAATGATAATTCATCCCAGCAAACCTAACTATCACTTCAGTGAACTCACAGTGTTAGGCTGCAAACTGCATAAATGACAGGACACCTTCCACTGAACTTAACTTCACAGCTCAAACTCCTCATCTCGAAGAGCCATTTCTGCAGCCTCTTCTTCCTCCTCGTCAAGAACAAAGTACTCATTCTTCTCCTCTGGCCTAAACATGTAAAACATCACCATGTAGAACGCTAGACTGGCTATCTCCTCGGCAGCATTTGCCACCCATTGGTACTTATATGCAGCAATTGTCCTCAATGCGAACACAACAATCCTAGTGAAGTACAAGTATCCGATCACCACAATATAAAACTGCCTAAACAAAGTCAATTTTGACAAATTCCTTGCAGCCTTCCCATCAGTCTTTGATGTCTCCCTCAACGACCTAATCGACCAAACAATAGGGAAGATAATAGCACAACAACAAATAATATCAACAATCAAAAACACCTGATTCCAAGTCACCCAATCCCTAATAAACGGACCCGTTTCACCAATCACAACTGATGCCACATTAGCCAAAACCTGAAGCGGGATCACAATCATCAACACTTTCTTCTCCCTCTCTTGCAAAAATGGCTTCAAAAACGACCACCCAGTACCAATCAAAACAATCACAGTAAAAAGCAAAACAACACGAATCGACTGAAAAATGTAAAACAACACATCCCAACCATGAGCAGTACCAGTAACCTTAACATAATGCTTATCCTCCGCAGCGAAAATCAAATTCATTGCCTTC